AGGCATGAGGTAGTAGTCTGCCTTTCGTCTGACTGAAACATTGAAATGAATAAATTCTGTATTTGTTTTTCGAGGTTTTTTTTTTTTTTTAGTAGCTTTCACAATTAAGTTTCTATTTCCGACACGGTCTATACCGGGGTTGAATAAGACTGATGAATTATATTTTCGTCTGCCAAAATAAGCTTATTCCTCATATGAGGTGATTTGGGATTTCAATGTGTATTAATTATTTGTTCTGTAATAATAAATACATTGAGCTCCATTGGGGGATCAGATTTAATATTTTATATTACTAGGGTACACTTGGATTATATACCAACGGCTTTATTAATTTTGCTACATCCAAAGAGAGCTCAATGTAAGAACAGAGCAAATATAATAATGATGAAAGCGGAGACTTTAGAAATCCATGGTAATAATTTATTTCATGCGATTAAATCTCGTTTCTTTAGGTCAAATTGTATTATTGGATCTGTTCTGAGATTGAGCTCTCTATGGATTTATATCTTCTTTGGAAGTTTGGTCTGAAAAGACGAGAATTGATCCCATGAAATAAATTTTTGCTAAAGTCTCCGCTTTCATCATTATATATATATATATATATATATATATATATGTGTGTGTGTGTGTGTGTGTGTGTGTGTGTGTGTGTGTGTGTTTCACTATTAGTTCTTATAAAACATTGTGCTATTATTGCTTTTATGATGATCGGGGATATTACCTATGGTGCTGGTTTTAAGGAATATTGTCGAGAAGTTTTAGATCAGCGGACTCGCAATGTATTTTCTTCTTGCTGAATGATTTTCTCTCTTGAATAGACTTGCATTTATTGAATCGAAATTGTGATCCGATGAGTGTTACGGTGGACCATCAGTGCGTTTAAAGTGAACTGTTGCTCTAAAGCATATCACAGCGATGCTTATATATAAAACAAAGCATAATATTTTTTCTAAATAAATCCACATTACAAACAAAAAACGTTTGCGGCACCTCTCTTCTTTTTAATATACATACTTTTTTCTCTCGTTGGAACCACTACAACATATTTCTTATATATATATATATATATATATATATATATATATATATATATATATATATATAGTTACACACACACACACATATATATATATATATATATATATATATAGATATATAAATATGAAAATATATAAATACACACACACACACACATATATATATATATATATATATATATATATATAAATTTACAAGAGGATAGAATCTAGGCGCAACTCAATGTCCAGGACAGAGTAAGAATATAATATAAAAGGCTTAAACACTAATATTTCATGGTTATAATTTATTATATTGGAATCCTAATCATGGTTAGATTCATCAGACCTACAAATTCAAAACTTTTTAATTTGTAGGTCTGATGAATTGGATCGTAACTGTAACCATGGAATATTAGTGTTTGAGCCTTTTTATCATATATATATATATATATATATATATATATATATATATATATATATGGTCACACTGTACATTAACATTTTCTGTTATCAGTTGTTCGAAAAGTGTGGCGTCGTGAAAATCAACTCATGTGACAGCACAATGACGGTTCAGTTCTATAAACTGAATTGTTGTTAGATCCTCATACACCGACGGTCCACTATATATATATATATATATATATATATATATAGAGAGAGAGAGAGAGAGAGAGAGAGAGTTATATATATATAAATAGATAGATATTATATATATATATATATATATATATATATATGGAGTTTTTAAACATTTAAATTACTATCAACCGTTAAAATCTGTGTTTATGTAAATTGTTAAATCTATACCACCCCTCTCCTTCGTTCAAAAATCCTACGCATATCTTACCTCTTATCACTTTACTTCAGACTTTTTTCATTTTCCCTTTTCACTCTTGTTTTTTCTTTTCCCCACCCATATCATTTTCGTTGAGTTGAAGGATTGAATAATTCAATGTCTGATTCTTACCCCCTCCTCCTCAATATTAAGTATTGTAATAAAAATTAAAATAAATTTTAAAACTTTCCCTTCCCTCTCTAAACTCGATCATGTCTCTCACACTATTCCTCACCACCCTCTATGTCACCTTATATAAGCTTAATACTGCTCTTCAAAAGTGTAAATTTTAAATTCATTTTTTTCCACCTTTGAAAGTTAAGTCTGAAGATCCAGAGAAAAATAAAATTCTCTGGTAAAATAAATTATAACTAATGGAGCCTTAAAATGGTCTGCTTTTTTTTTTTAATTTAAATTATATATATATATATATATATATATATATATATATATATATAAGGTTGCAACCAGTTTGAAGGGGACAAGGTGGAACATGGTTAAGCGCAATCTTCGTAAAGGTAATCTTGAAGTGCTACCTTCCACCCTAATCTTACAACATGGATGTATTTTATGTGGTAAATTTTCTCTTTGAACGGAAGTTCTTCAAAGTCACCTTAGGTCTATCCATTGAAAGAAGTCAAATATTACACCTTGTGCCTTCTTGTACACTCTGCCATAAAGTATGCAAGCCGGCTTCTGGATTAACAAGATACATGTTGATGCCGTGCAGGTTGGGTTTAGCTATCTCCCTTTCTGGTGCAACATTTACACTAAAGCTTGTAAAAGTAGCAAGGCTGGTTTAAAAAGTCATCTGCGCTCTTATGATCGGTGAGTCTGAGAGTTTTTTTTAAAGATATGTATATAGTACATTGTATATATATATATATATATATACAATGTATATATATATATATATATATATATATATATATATATATATATATATATATATATATATATATATATATATATATATATATATATATATATATATATATATATATATATATATATATATATATATATATAATAATGTACTATATATATATATATATATATATATACTCAATCGTGTGCATATGCATTGGAATATCTGTCAGAAGTCCGTAATCTGTAATCTAATGTTGAAAAAAAAAGCAGTGTGTGTGCATTTCTGTTAATGGTAGATTTTCTCTGAAAGTTAATTAGAACATTTTATAATCGAGGGCAAATCTTAGAATAATTATCAATTAACAACTAACTCGTAATTTTTACGATAATTATCTTCAGAAAACCAAAAATTCCGTAATTTATTAGCTGAGAATTTTATTAGACATTTTTTCTGAACATTGTGAAGAATTCAATTGAAGCGTCATTTTAAACATAGATTCCTTTTTTTTTTTCGAATGCTTTTTCAAACGTTTATTCTCTATTATAAATGGGCCTAATGTTTCGGTAAAAATATAAAAGATACAATTACATGTAAAATGTCGATAAGACCTTTTAGGGATAGTTTCAAAGAAACTTCTCCAAACAGCAGAAGAGATATATTTTTGCTACAATGCATCTATTAAGCAAAAATCTATATACCCGCTTACATTCCCTAATTTTATTATTTGTATATCAATATCCATATACCTACGTGTATACATATACCGACGTATATGTATATAAATATACGCATACCTACATTCAAAAGTGCTATACATAGATATATATATATATATATATATATATATATATATATATATATATATATATATATATATATAAATGGTGAACGATGTAGAATAATAGAGCTATAAATTATATATTATTAATAAATATACATTTTTTCCTCACCAGTAGGTCAATTCTGAGATTAATGTATGATACAATCGTCAGATATATATATGTATATATATAAACACACATATATATATATATATATATATATATATATATATATATATATATATATATATATATATATATATATATATATATATATATATATATATATATATATACTTATATATATATATATGTGTGTGTGTGTGTGTGTATGTGTGTGTGTATGTGTGTGTGTGTGTGGACAATGAAGACAACCCAGCGGCGACAGTCTGTTTGATACTTGAACAAGATCTCCTATCCATCTCAGTGTCGACTTTTATATTTACATACGCAATATCCCATACGTTTGTTATACGTATGACATATATATATATATATATATATATATATATATATATATATATATATATATATGCGAATCTGTAATATAGTTCATAAATATTCATAAATATGCATACACTACACTATTTTGTACTTGTTCAACGTCAACAAAGCTAGTCCGATGAAGGTTCTAAGAGATGAAATGCCTCATGTGAAAACTTTTTCCACTTTGTCATACAACTTTCCTACCAAACTGTTCTTCCTATATGAAAAAAAAATATATATATCTTTATCGTATAGACACATACACACACACACACACACATATATATATATATATATATATATATATATATATATATATATATATATATATATATATATATATATATACGATGATATAGCGGGACGAAATATGTAATCGGAGAGCTGAGTTCGATTCCAGTCAAATTCATTACATTCACTTACGTGCTAGGGAAAGGTATGAAACCTCTTCATCTCCCCCCCCAGCTATGGGTAAATAGCATGTCAGGCTGGGTTCTTTAGCCTTGGACAACAATGAATTCAAAACCTGCGAAGGGTCGTTTGGAGATCTTGTGGCACACGGGTGTTATTCCTTTCTTTAAAAAGTGTTGTTGGTTTTGCACAAATCCTTCACCACTATAATCAAAGGATTTGTGCAGGGTGTCTGGTTGTCAGTTTCCAGAGTTGCTTGACCCTCATACTTCGATATCGACGGGAGAGTCTATATCGTATATATATATATATATATATATATATATATATATATATATATATAGTACAGGTACTAAATATCCATGGTATATAATCCAAGAGAATCCTAATATCATATATTAAAAATGATCCACAGAAGGAGTTCAGTGCATTTATTATAACAGAGCAAATAAATTACACAACAAAATTAAACATTACGCCATATATACGTGTCAAAATCTGCAAATATTTTGGCTATCAGCATTGAACCTATCCCTGCTGCTGTATAACGCAAGGCCTCATATTTCAAAGGCCACATAGTCAAAGAAATTAATGCAGTCATGGATGGGGTTTCTGCCTGAATATCGTTCATATACTCAACAATAAGTGTACACTAGAAAATCGTCCTGGGTAAGACGATAAATTACATCCGTGTCCTGGGTAAAAAGATAAACTACGTCTAACAGCGAGGCCTCTTATCAGGAGGTTTTGAGGAACGGGGAACCATCTCTTAATTGCTGGTGTTCCCATATCTACACTGACCCGGGGTGGTAGCACTTGTTAGGGTTTCATTTATGGGAAAATAGTTAATCCCCAAACTGGGGTAAAAACACTATGAAAGTGTAAAAATAGGTTTTAATACATGTAATGATTTTTTCAAAAAAAAAAAATTCTTATCATCAATACATTTTTGAAGAAAAAAAATATTACCAACAATAAAAATCTTGCCGGCATTAAATATCTTATTGAGGTTGATATACCGTAAAACAAAATAAACCCAGCCAAACCAAGTAGAAAATGACCGTTTGTGATTTGTCATTTCCCATGACTTCATTATTTTTGTGATTTGAATAAATTTAACCGTCAAATAGTTTATGAAGGCAAACGTGACAAAATCACATTCAAACAAAAGCCTTTCCTTTATTTCAAGTGGAAGTATTCAAAAATACTGCCTGTCAAGAAAAACATTATCGTAAGGAAGGGTTTCGTTTTTATTCACATTATGCAGGTAGATTGTCCCTCCGAGTCATTTTTTGTGTATTTGTGGAGCCATTAAATGCCAACAAGAGAGCGTATGCATTTATTTGCGACTTACTGAATCCGCTAAAATAAAATAGGTTTCTCCTCGAGGCTAGCCAAACCTACACCTTTGTGCAAATTAATTGAAACAAAACGAATAATACCGTTATTATTTACTTTTTACGTATCTTTCCAATGAAACATGACCCAGTGCACATGTTAGTACTTCGTATGTCCGTTTCACGAAGTCGTTCCTTGCAGATTGACCACAGATTCTCGATTGGATTTAAATCAGGAGTGTTTCCAGTCCAGTCTATATTACTTTCATTTGCTCAATGTTAAGGCTTGCCAGTGTGTTCGTGCAGCGTTACAATTTTCGTACGCTTCCTTGGAGTAACGTCCATCGCAGACAATGGAAGTAGGACAACTAATCGACAGTCGAGACAATAGTGTCTGGGCGTGATAAAAATGACCAATGTAGTAATACATTTATATCTATATAATAAATGTGTATGTCAGTGAGTCAGTGTGTCACAGTTTTTTAATTTAAGGGACACACCTCTCTGACTTTCAATATCTCATCATCTTCTTCTATATAATAAATGTGAATGTCAGTGAGATAGTGTGTCACAATTTTTCAACTATACTTCTAGAAGCCGTAGCCCAACATGACATACCATTTTGGAATCAGGCAGACTCCGTGATCAAATTAATAACATTCCGAACCAGATCCGGTCGCGCGATCCTGAAATTTTGCATTCCCAAATTTCATTACTGTTATTGTTTTAGGGTCTTTATTTTACGTGATTTTTTTGGCGACAATTTTTTTTTTGAAGATAACAGAAGATAACAATATTCATAACTTAGAAATAAATTTGGGAATATCGAAATTACTTGCGGAATCCAGAGAAAGTCACTCATGAAATAAAACTAATTGTTTGTACGGAAATAAGGACCTACGTACATCAAATTGCCTTTGAATTAAGTGGTGACAGAGGAATTAAAAGAATTACCTTTTAAAAGGTATACTTAAATATTAATGCAATATTTAAATGCATTAAATTTTGTGTTCTTCTGTAGTTTATTGTTGCTTATCGCATCTACTCCTCCCTAACCCTATTGTACCCAATCACGGGCACTCCACAGAAGCTAGCTTAAATGCCACACGATAGAGCGGGTTTAAACTATTACTTATATAACATTATCATTGAAAGATAAAAGGAAATCACAATATTGATACATGTTTAATCCAATCTAAGCTTTCGGCTTACATAAGCCATTATCAAAGATGACAATTACTTTTCAATATATCAACCAATACACGGACGAAACAATAATGATAGTCTGTTTTTGTTGCATGAAAAATGTCAAAGCAACGACTAATTCGTGTATACGAGACGCGGAAGCGAAAATCGTGTCGCAGTTCATGACGTCACACATGACCACGCGGGAGTGAAAACGAGAAGTATTAAGTATGGGAAGCTGTTGGTATAAACCAGTGGCTTCTGTTATGAATTATAGGCATTTAAGAATATTTGTGGAGATTTCGTAGTTTATTTTGTTCAGGTTAGGTTTCAATTGTTTTATGTATATAGCTTCAAGAATTTTTAGTTTTTGTTTTCATATTTAAGTTTAGTTGCGTTTTCAACAAGTATTTTCTGGACTTGAAGCCATTGGTTTATACTAATGTCTATATTATTTAATGAAACATGCATTAATGAAAATTGCTGCCTATATATATATATATATATATATATATATATATATATATATATATATATTTAGGCAGTAATTTTCATTAATGCATGTTTTCATATATATATATATATATATATATATATATATATATATATATATATATATATATGATAAAATTATTGTATTAAAGTATGCTATATTAATGGGTAAAAGTGCTCAAGTAGCAGAGACAGAGCATATATAAATATAAAAGTGGACAGTGACGTCAACACCGAGGAACTACATTCGATTTCATGCTTGAACGTGAACACTGTCGCTGCTCGGGGGTAAACCTAATTGTGTTCATGTATGTATATATACATATGGATGTGTAAATATACATTTATGTATATATATATATGTGTCTGTCTGCGCGTGTGCGTTTGCGTACATGTGTGCGTATGTATGTAATCCTCCTCTAATACTGGTTTCATTAAAAAGGACTGTCAAAGTACTTAATGAAAAGTATCTCTCTGTCTCTCTCTCTCTCTCTCCACACACACACACACACACACACATATATATATATATATATAATAATCAATATAGAATCCTTAAAAATGCATCTAGTTATAATTTATTTCGTGGACTTTACATCCATCTCTTCAGACCAGTGTTTTGTTAATAAAATGCTGATTTGAAGAGATGGATATAAAGGTCCACGAAATAAATTGCAAACAAATGGATTTTTAAGGATTCTGTATTCTTTATTATATTTGCTTTGTTTTTACAATGAGCTCTATGTGTAGATATATGTATAAATATATATATATATATATATAATATTTTAAATATATATATATATATATATATATATATATATATATATATATATTGAAATGTGCTATATTCAGAATTTATGCATATACACATTGTGAAAACACGAATCAACACTGTATGGTGACTGGCAGTTTCAGGCAGTAATATAGTGATATATTTTTATATGTGAAACCATATATATATATATATATATATATATATATATATATATATATATATATATATATATATTTGTTTGAATAAAAGACAGACCACGTTAAGATTCCATGTATAAGTTATTTTCACCATAACCCCTTTAACAGGGTTCTGGATCATCAGACTTACTTCCAAAAACTGAAATGAAAAATGAAAAGAAATTCACACGTTTTTTACGGACCTCATCAAGTATACGCAAAGTTAACGAAGTGAGGAAGTGAGGTGGGGAGAGGATATGAGTGTGTCATATGTATCATTTTAGTTTCCTATTTTAACCCCAGTGTGTCGGCTAGATGTTGCTCAAATCTAACGCGTCTCGTCTCTAGATAAAGGTGGCTAAGGTGGCAATATATATATATATATATATATATATATATTGTATATATCACAACAATTTTAAGAAAATTTATGACAAATTGGATTTTTTCTTGACGCGTTTCGTCCTCTAGGACTTCTTCAGTCTAAAGTGATGTTTACGTTGACGTAATTACACGTGTTCATGAAGAAGAAGGGATGCTGAAATTAATTTTTGAAATATTTGTTTATGTATAGTCTACCCGATTTCATCTAGTTGCTTTTACTTTTTGTTCATATTTTTATTGCCTTTGTTATGATATATATATATATATATATATATATATATATATATATATGTGTGTGTGTGTGTGTGTGTGTGTGTGTGTGTGTGTCTGTGAAAAGTGTATATAAATATAAATAAATATATATATGTATAATTATTTATATATTATATATGGTACTTATTAGAAAGCGCTCAATATCAGAGATAGAGCTAACATATTTGGTTGGATAGATGAGTTTTGACAACCAAAATATATATATATATATATATATATATATATATATATATATATATATATATATATATATATATTACTTTTACTTTTTAAATATCAGTTTCATCCTGACTTGAATTTTCTTAATAAAATTTCCACTCTTCAGGGGTTGAGATTTTAAACTGCATTTCCATTTATTTTCAGTTTGTTTCCTGTCTTTATATGTAAATATAGATACATATCCGTCTGTTCATAGACATCGATTTCTTTTGATCTGTCTATCTATTTCAATTTGCTCGTCTTTCTCTCCCTCTCTTGCTTGCTCTCTTTTATATATATATATATATATGAATCGATTTCAAAAAATTATAATTATAATTATACTCTTTTCATAAAATACGACCATTTAAAATATTTATAAAGAGTATTTCTCAAATGTTTACATTTATTTTTTTTTCAAATATTGGTTCTGTAAAATAAATGCTTGCAAAGTAAATTATGATTAATGAATTAAATATATCAGTCTATCTCTCCATCTATCTATCTTCTGGGAAAAATTACTTTAGTGTGGTACAAGGCCACGTATCTATTATTCTACTCGATGTAAGTTAAACACATTACACATTCGATAATAGTTTCCGTTCTCTCTCTTACTGATCTTCTTGGACTGAACCGACACTGATTTTGATTACATACTTGCTAGATTTAGTTTAGTGTGGTACAAGGCAAAAAATACTGAGCGCCAGGTGAAGATTGAACTCGCTACAATATTAACAGTAGACTACAAATCGATCTTTCTTACCAATGTACAAAGCATGGAAATAACATGACTGTGCGCTTAAACACACTTTATATATATATATATATATATATATATATATATATATATATATATATATATATATATATATATATATATATATATATATATAGAGAGAGAGAGAGAGAGAGAGAAAAGATTGATAGATAGATTATGAAAAGACAGGGTAGATAGATAGATAGAAAGATAGTAGAGTATATGAACAAATTTAGATAAATAGGTAGATATGAATGAATGAGATAGATAGATAGATAGATAGATAGATAGATAGATAGATAGATAGATAGATTAGGAACAGACGGGGTAGATAGATAGAAAGATTGACAAATAATAGGAGCTATGAACAAATTTAGATAGATAGATAGATAGATAGATAGATAGATAGATAGATAGATAGATAGATAGATATCAATAGGCAGATGTACATCGATAATATTTATCTAACTTGTTCGTGTACCAAATTATATTTACAACATCATTTATTGGTGCACTATGTACTCCAGCAGTATATATATATATATATATATATATATATATATATATATGTGTGTGTGTGTGTGTGTGTGTGTGTGTGTGTGTCTGCACTGGAGTTGAGGTATTTTCCTATCAACATATAAAATACAGAAAATAATACCGGTGATTAGTTTTTGAATTCTAGCTCATCCTGTGTCTGTCTACTTGTCACTGAGAAAGGCATGAACCGAGCTCTTCGTCCGTTCAATCCGAGCTACTCACACAGAAGACATTTTGGACGTGTGAGCGTTTGGGGAAACCCGTCGCCCATAAATACTGAACATCCCGATCACACAAGTTGGATGATGTTTTCAAACTTGACTTATAAATAGATATCCGCAAAAATATACATGACTCGATCAATAAATCTGTAGCTTCACGCATTTACCTGTTTTTTTTTTTAGATAGATAGATAGATAGATAGATAGATAGATAGATAGATAGATAGATAGATAGATATCACTATACCTAGATAAATATGAAAAGATAGATAGATAGATAGATAGATAGATAATGAACAGACTGAGATAGATAGATAGATAGATAGATAGATAGATAGATAGATAGATAGATAGATAGATAGATAGATAGTGGACATAGTAATCAACACTGCATGTTCAATTGACATAGAAATAGTCATCTCCAACTATATTTATATTAAATAGGATCAGTAAATCCATATCCTTACACAATAATCTGGCAATTCTTTCTTAATCTTTCACTCTGTGATAATCACTGTCTATGATTGATGATCAAACATTGGGATAAGTGAATTGACAAGAAAAGTGATTATGTTTGTAGATAAATACTTGTTTACATGTGTGACAGGAGTATTACTTGAAAAATACGCAACTATACTCCTGTTCTGAATGTTTATATGGGGAGTATTCATTCTAAGCAGTAAGATGTTTTCATTTACGTCTATAAAATAAGTCTACACCGGCCACAGATTCGCTGAGTTTTGTTGATTCACAAACACGTGTCTCTGCCAAAACTCGCATTAACCTATACAATTCTCAATCAATTCACAGAATGAAAAAAGTACACATTCCATTAAAAAGTGAATTAAGATTATTTACAACGCGAAATTCTTCGATTTTTGATGATATTTTAACGGAAAAGTGTCGTAGACTTTTCCCGGTCCTGCTGAGTAAATACTCTTTGTGAGAATTAAATAAATTTCTTTGCCTTATGTTACAAATTAGAAAAGGTTTTAAAATTTTAATGTCGATGAACAAAAATGATAAATAATTTAATGTAAACCTTTGTCTTGTTTCATACAGACTGATTCTGGTTTGAAGTTATTCAAATTGTTCCTTCTTTCTTGTAAAAGTATTTTTTTCAACTATTTTCTTTCTTATAAAGAGATTAACTTATTGGTGCACGCTCTACAGTGTAGACTCTTTAAATCAACGGTATGTATCCATATCCTTTTTTTAAAACTTATGTTTATTTCAAAAATATTATCTGTTAAGATCACACAATAGTTTTATCAAAACAAGCAAGAAAAAAAACAAAAAAACAAAAAAAAAAACAAAACAAAACAGGACAAACCGTGTAGAAAAACTTCGACCTGAATCCCAGTGATAATAAAACCTAACGCAGTAAAAGCCTAATTTGTATTTCTCACCTGATATGGAACACGTGTGTTTAGAAAGAAATTCACAAAGGTAGAAATATAAAAACTGAATCACCATTTGAATAAGCAATAAAAGCGTTTCGTAAAATAGCAAATGCATTTTTTCTCTCAAAACATATAAGTAAATAATTTAGAAATCCTTTTGATAAATTCGTAGAATTACTTTTAAATCGAAAAATTTCAGATCGAAGAAAATAAAATTTATCTACTGGGAAAAAATCTATATTTTCTTTTCTTTATCAAAAGAAATATTTTTTAAAGGAAATATTTTAAAAAAAGTATCTTTTAATCTTTGAAAGTTATCTTTTCACTTCTAATTCTAATTATCACATCGCGTATCTAATTTTATAAGATAATTCTTGACTAAATGCCGAAAGCGTTGTAAAGCCAAAAAAAAAAAAAAGCAGAAATAAAAACAATATACAAACTTGTCGAAACACGAAACAACTTAAAAGAAACAAGAGGTGAATTTACACACCAGTTATACTAAAAAAAAGAATCTAAATTCTTTTCCTCGTCGACTCGTACACAGATAAACTGTAAGTAACAGCTATGTGTTTTATACCGGGTAATTAACTGTACGAAGGCATACACACACACAGACACAAACACACGAATAAACACACACGCACCCACACAAAAAGAAAGAAAGATCACTTACCTCAATTAATGACAGACTGGATAAGGCAAATACATAGAGCAGTAAAGAAATGTTTGAACGACGAAAGAAATCCAACTGGAAAAAATAAAAATAAAAATCATTCAAAACCAGAAAAATTTATTTATATATATATATATATATATATATATATATATATATATATATATTGGAACAAAGATCTCTCTATCTATCTATCTATCTATCTATCTATCTATCTATCTATATATATATATATATATATATATATATATATATATATATATATATACACCTAGGTATTAAATATATTTGTTTTCTGAAACACTGACCAGCGTTTATACTTTGACGCGGCACACACACACACACACATGCAGAGACGAAAAGGGAGTCAGTCTCTCCATCTATCTATTTATCTATCTATCTACACACACATATATATATATATATATACGTATATATATAATATATATATATACAGACACATCTAGGTATTATTTAAATATATTTGCTTTCTGAAACACTGACCAGCGTTTATACGTTGACGCGGCACACACACACACACACACACACACACACACACACACACACACACACACACACACACACACTCTCTCTCTCTCTCTCTCTCTCTCTCATACATGCACACACACACACACACGCAGAGACGAAAAGGGAGTTAGCCAGATGAGGAGACAAGTTTTAAAACATATTTTAAAAGCTCTCCTCTGTGGGAAAAAATGTTTTATCAGTATTCTCGATCTATATATCAACATGTTTTCTTTTTTCTTTTTCTTTTTTTTTACTTACCATCGTTTTGCGTAGAGTTTATCGACAGACACGACGTGAAACGATAGGTAGGTCCAAGAAATGTTCAAGAAATGAAACACTCAATGAAGGTGCGAGTTTTCACTGTGCTGAGTGGGCCAACGAAGGCGGCCTAGGCTGTTCCAACCAAAAACCACACTCCCGCTCACCGTTGCTATTATTTCTTCTGCTATTACCACTGTATATTATTGCCTTTTCTCTTTTGGACTATTAGTACTGCTGCTAAACGCACTATCTACAGTCGTTGATTACTACAGAACAAATTACGGGCAAAAAGAAAGAAGTTCACTTAGTGCGACTTAGCGATTTCGTCCGTATGTGTAAACTAAGTTGTTTTTGTTTGTTTGTTAATTAGGCTATGAGAAAAAAAAAAAAAAAAGCAAGAAAAGAACAAAAATAAGAACGTTGTTTTTTTTTAGCAGGATTCAAATTCCAAATATAAACCTATCAGGAACAAATGAAAAGGAAAAAAATTAAAATAAGTTGACTGCTTAAAAACAAAGCCGCACAACTTTTTGCACAAAGATGCAAAGTTAAAATAGAAGTAAAATCTAAAAAATAATGTAAAATTTAAAACTTAAAAAATTAAAAATAGGATAAAATTAAAATAAATTAAAAATTGAAAAATTAAATTAAATTAAAAAATAGAATAGATTAAAATAAAAAATATGGTAGAATTGAAAAATAAAGTAAAATTTAAAAACGTAAAAAACATGCTTTTAAAATTAAATTAAAAATAACGTAAAATAATATAAAGTTAAAAATTAAAAAAATTAAAAATATAATAAAATTAAAATAAAAGTAAACTTGAAAAATAAAACTAAACAAATAAAATAAATGTAAAAGTAAGAATGAAATAAAAATAAAGTAGAATTGAAAATAATGTAAAATTCTAAAAATAAAAAATATTTAGAAATAAAAATGAAGTAAAATAAAAAATAAACTTATATTAAAATTTAAAATAAAAGAAGATTTTAAAAAAATAACGTAAATTAAGAATATAAAAATTGAATAAAATTAAAATAAACAAAATAAAAAAAATTAAATAAAATTAAAAAATAAATCAAAATAAACGTAAGATTAAAATAAGAATAAAGTAGAATTAAAATAAGTAAAATTAAAAAAATTAAATTTAAACTTAAAAATGAAGTAAAATAAAGAAAATAACATAAATTACAACTAAAATAAAATTAAGATTGAAATTATAGAATTTTCAACACCTTTACTTAAATATAAATTAAAACGTAAATTAAATTTTACCTGTATGATATTCGTACTCTTTAAAAAACCGAAGTAGAGCATAATTTTACGATTAGTAATTTATATATATATATATATATATATATATATTTTTTATTATAAGATATTACATTTGAACATATGTAGAACCGTTACATAAATGCATTCACGTATTGATGCATATTATTGCATCTCACCAGGCGTTGGTAAATGAGGGTTATTACAATTTTTAATATTTATCTACAAACGGTCCCTTTTCCCGCGAAAAAAGAAAAAAAGAATATCAAAGAAAAAAGAAAGACGAAAAAAAAAAGAAAGACACAAGATATAGTCGATGAAAGAGAAAAGAGAGACAAGATATAATCTCTTCTAAAAAAGAAGAAAGAAAATAAGAAGAGGAAGAAGGAAAGAAAAACACAAGATATAGTCTCTCTCCAAAGAAAAAAAGATATATATATATATATATATATATATATATATATATATATATATATATATATATATATAAAGTTCTGCTTTATTGAACAATCAAAAGTACAATCAAATATATTGTTTTTTAATTTTTTGTTTTTAATCATTTCATCACAGTCAAGGCAATAAAGCCACTAAGATGCAAGGGGGTTGCTGTGAGTGAGAGATTATGAGAAAAAGAAGATATTAAGGAGATCGAACAATAAAAGAAGAGAATTCAAGACGACAGAAGATAAAAATTGACATTGCATTGAAATTTTTGAAGATCAATGTTGATTTGAAATGAAGAAGCCGGAAGAGAGTCCTACAAGCGAGAAGTGTGAGAGAAGCATATGTTAGCGTAGAACTTACGTTTATATCTATTCATTTCATCTCTAAAATGACAAGGCCTTGAAACAATCTTGTATTACGCTTAAATTCATAAAGTCTAGCTACCAAGGAAGAAAATTCATCAGAACAATTACCATAAAAGTATTTATAGAAAAAGCAAAGGGACGCTACTTTACGGCGTCGGGAAAAAGAACTGAAGCCGAGATGCCAGGCCAGATCTAATAAAATTGCAGATTCTTTTATGGATTTTATCAAATATCTCTAAATATATAAAAGGAACACCAGAGCAGATGTGACAGCAATATTTAAAGAAAGAACAAATGATATACTTATAAATATGAAACATAGATTCTGGAGAGAAAAAAAGTGAAAACATCTTTCTTAGCAGAAGACAGAGGAATTGATTCAATATAGTACCTTTCTATATTTCTGAGATGATGTATTATGTACACTATTTACATTATTCGGACTATTGTCCTCATCTTTGTCGCCATATTCATTACAACGTTTCGGCCTTTCAGTACCTTTCTATATTTCTGAGATGATGTATTATGTACACTATTTACATTATTCGGACTATTGTCCTCATCTTTGTCGCCATATTCATTACAACGTTTCGGCCTTTCAGTACCTTTCTATATTTCTGAGATGAGGTATTATGTACACTATTTCCATTATTCGGACTATTGTCCCTCATCTTTGTCGCCATATTCATTACAACGTTTCGGCCTTTCAGTATCTGTCTATATTTCTGAGATGATGTATTATGTACACTATTTACATTATTCGGACTATTGTCCTCATCTTTGTCGCCATATTCATTACAACGTTTCGGCCTTTAAGTACCTTTCTATATTTCTGAGATGATGTATTATGTACACTATTTACATTATTCGGACTATTGTCCTCATCTTTGTCGCCATATTCATTACTGAGTTTCGGCCTTTCAGTATCTGTCTATATTTCTGAGATGATGTATTATATACACTATTTACATTATTCGGACTATTGTCCTCATCTTTGTCGCCATATTCATTACAACGTTTCGGCCTTTCAGTACCTTTCTATATTTCTGAGATGATGTATTATGTACACTATTTACATTATTCGGACTATTGTCCTCATCTTTGTCGCCATATTCATTACAACGTTTCGGCCTTTCAGTATCTGTCTATATTTCTGAGATGATGTATTATGTACACTATTTACATTATTCGGACTATTGTCCTCATCTTTGTCGCCATATTCATTACAACGTTTCGGCCTTTCAGTACCTTTCTATATTTCTGAGATGATGTATTATGTACACTATTTACATTATTCATTATTGTCCTCATCTTTGTCGCCATATTCATGACAACGTTTCGGCCTTTCAGTACCTTTCTATATTTCTGAGATGATGTATTATGTACACTATTTACATTATTCGGACTATTGTCCTCATCTTTGTCGCCATATTCATTACAACGTTTCGGCCTTTCAGTACCTTTCTATATTTCTGAGATGAGGTATTATTACACTATTTCCATTATTCGGACTATTGTCCTCATCTTTGTCGCCATATTCATTACAACGTTTCGGCCTTTCAGTATCTGTCTATATTTCTGAGATGATGTATTATGTACACTATTTACATTATTCGGACTATTGTCCTCATCTTTGTCGCCATATTCATTACAACGTTTCGGCCTTTCAGTACCTTTCTATATTTCTGAGATGAGGTATTATGTACACTATTTACATTATTCGGACTATTGTCCTCATCTTTGTCGCCATATTCATTACAACGTTTCGGCCTTTCAGTAACTTTCTATATTTCTGAGATGAGGTATTATGTACACTATTTCCATTATTCGGACTATTGTCCTCATCTTTGTCGCCATATTCATTACAACGTTTCGGCCTTTCAGTATCTGTCTATATTTCTGAGATGATGTATTCTACACTATTTACATTATTCGGACTATTGTCCTCATCTTTGTCGCCATATTCATTACAACGTTTCGGCCTTTCAGTACCTTTCTATATTTCTGAGATGAGGTATTATGTAAACTATTTATTATTCGGACTATTGTCCTCATCTTTGTCGCCATATTCATTACAACGTTTCGGCCTTTCAGTACCTTTCTATATTTCTGAGATGAGGTATTATGTACACTATTTCCATTATTCGGACTATTGTCCATCTTTGTCGCCATATTCATTACAACGTTTCGGCCTTTCAGTATCTGTCTATATTTCTGAGATGATGTATTATGTACACTATTTACATTATTCGGACTATTGTCCTCATCTTTGTCGCCATATTCATTACAACGTTTCGGCCTTTCAGTACCTTTCTATATTTCTGAGATGAGGTATTATGTACACTATTTCCATTATTCGGACTATTGTCCTCATCTTTGTCGCCATATTCATTACAACGTTTTCGGCCTTTTCAGTATCTGTCTATATTTCTGAGATGATGTATTATGTACACTATTTAATTATTCGGACTATTGTCCTCATCTTTGTCGCCATATTCATTACAACGTTTCGGCCTTTCAGTACCTTTCTATATTTCTGAGATGAGGTATTATGTACACTATTTACATTATTCGGACTATTGTCCTCATCTTTGTCGCCATATTCATTACAACGTTTCGGCCTTTCAGTACCTTTCTATATTTCTGAGATGAGGTATTATGTACACTATTTCCATTATTCGGACTATTGTCCTCATCTTTGTCGCCATATTCATTACAACGTTTCGGCCTTTCAGTATCTGTCTATATTTCTGAGATGATGTATTATGTACACTATTTACATTATTCGGACTATTGTCCTCATCTTTGTCGCCATATTCATTACAACGTTTCGGCCTTTCAGTTTTCTATATTTCTGAGATGAGGTATTATGTACACTATTTACATTATTCGGACTATTGTCCTCATCTTTGTCGCCAT